GGCCAACTTTGGGAACCAAAGTGCAATGGTTCGCAAACTTTTCAGTTTTTGACCCACAAAATAGTATAAAACAGTAGCAGAGACCTGTGCCCCCAACTATTTTTGGATGATAAACATTTGTATCAGGTCAACAAAACATGGGCATAGTAACAATATTTTTATACTACATTTATCCATTTTAAATACACTAACCTCACTCCTTTGTAACAACTAAGGCAAAAATGTAATTAAGTCCTAAAATCTGTTCAGGACCCCACCTTGATGGTTTGGGACCCCACTTTGGGTCCTGACCCCAACTTTGGAAAACACTGCCATAAACAACCCGATATTCTACTCGATACAAACTCGTAATCAAAAAATTAAAAATAAAATCTCTTAATACACAGTATTATTATCAATTTAAAATGTCAGCTTAGCTCTTATCTGCAGCATCACTTAAAAAATCATGCAATTTTGATTATAATCAATAATTTTCAGCCTTTTGTATTTTTTTTAGTCAAAACTCATTGTATTTTTATTTATATTTTATAAATTTACAAAAAAGTGAATTTAAAACACTCATTGAAAGTAATGAGTCATTCTTTACGCAAAAGTAAAGTTGTAACATTTTATTACATTTTGCCATTTTTTATAAAACGACAAACAAACATAACAATAAATTATATCATTCAAAATAAAACAAAAGTTTTTATGGTCCAGTGATTTTTTGTTTGTTTTGTTTTTAATTTTACATTTTAAAGCACTTCTTCACCTCTCACCTCCTGGGAGTTCTTGACAAATTCTTATTTTTCCACTGTTTTCAGTACAGCACCACATGCTGAATGCTTTACGACATGCTGAAAGTCCAGTAAGGCTTCAGCTTTGCTATTGTGAAGTGACTCTCATCGACTAAAATGCTGCATGTCGTAAAGCGTGGCGTTTCTTGAACTATCAACAAAAACAGACATGTACAGAAACATTTGAGTCCTTTGTGCTGGATGCTTTTCAGTTTCACAGCTCTTGTGTTGCATATAGTTACATTTATCCAGCATACAAATCAGATCTGTTCTCATCTACACACCTGATAACGGCTGAGATCTGCCATGCTTTATTGTTAAAGAACAGCAGTTTATGCAGAGGAGCAATGGGAGGTGGAGCAGCTTATCTAGACTCTGTACTGTGAAGGGCTGGGTGCACTGTCCATTTTATCAAGCAAAAAGTGAACTTCCCTTCGACTCTGGTTACAGTGCAGATGAAGTCTTAAGGTTTTAGCTTTGTCATGCAGTTGGATTAAGTGGTCTTGGGGTCGTCGTTAAAGATGCTGTGCTTCATATCTCTCAGATAAAGCTAACTTACTTTCTTTGACTATAGAAGAAGTGCACAAAAAGGCTGCACTAGAAGCAGGAAGTTGCATCTTTTGTGTTGGGAAACAAAACAAAAACAAATCCAGGCTGCACAGTTTGTCGAGCTTTTTGTCTGATGAGACTCGATCCGAACTGCACCGTCAGGTTGTGAGCTGCTGCCGATCGAGGTTCATCTGTTGAAAGAAGGTCTTCCCAAACTCGTAGCTGCTGATCATGACGGCACAAGCCGGGGCTACTTTGATCACCCTGGGCATGAAACCTGGAAAAAACACAAACACGCTTTCACGTTTCAGCAACCAAACACATTTTTACACATAAAAATGATTGTATGTACCTGCAAAAAGGCCTTTGTAGCCCACTTCAGCCCAGATTTTCTTCAGTATGTGCCAAGTGGACGTGGTTCTCTTTGCGTAAACTAGACAAAAAAAAAACCAAACATTTCAATTAAACAGCTTTGGACATAAAAATTATTTTACACAAAGCAAGTAACGTTAAAACACAGACGGACCTCCCAGATTATCCATCTCCCCGAGCTGAATCTGCCTCCGAGTTTTTGCCACATCAAACGGCAGCGTCAGGACGGCAGCGACCTAATCATTACAGACAGGAAGTCATTTCCTGAACAACACAGGCGCAGCTGCAAGTTACACAACCACTTTAAACTTATTGTTTTTTTTAAGGACAACTTATAATTCACAATATAATTCATTTATTTTTTCATTTCATTAAAAAAACATTTCACACAACAAAATACAAAAAAATAAAATGAAAAGCAGCAGAAGAAATAAATACTTATATCTGCTCCTTTAAAAAAAAATTCAATGACAAACCAAAAAATAAAACAAAACTAAAAATTAAACTCCTCAATCAGTAACTAATACAAATTAAACAATTTCATATTTCTTTAACAATTTTTCTTTGTTTTCTTAAAGGAATTAACTGATCCAATGCTTTTATGGTCATTTTCCAGATTATTCCAGTTTTTACTGAAGTGCATCTGTCCGTCAAATTTGTTCTGATTTTCGGTTTAACAAACATTTGTAATCCCTTCAAATTATAGCAGCTTCCCCTTTTAACTTCTCAGAACAACTTCATTTATTGCTAAAGAAACATTAACACCTGAATGTGCGTCATAGTGTGTCCTGAATAAGAGATGTGTAACAAAAGGCTCAATTAAGACTGATATGACATTTCTGAATGATAGAAAAGTCATAAACCCATAACGCCAGCTGTTTGTGATCGGGTCATCAAAAACCAAATTGATTAGGTTGCACTTTTATCTACATTTACATAAAGTTAAACATATAACAGCTGTTTAAAAAAGCTGTCTAAGTTTAAGAATCTGAAGAATACTGCAAAACTATTCATCAGCTCACAGTTTTGTAATTTTGGGGGTTAAATTTAAACAGAAGCAGAGAATGAACAAGCAAGGAATTTAATAATCATAAAAAATTACGTTTGATGTCATAATTTTACCATAACTGTTAAGAAGAATAAAAACTGTCATAAATTATTAAAAAGAAAGATTATACTGGTTTGTAAGGATCCACGTGCCACCATAAAGCCTTTATATAACAGTGTTATTGACCTTTTTACTGCTGCTAATGCACATGATCAAAGTGAAGAGAAAGCAGCTAGCAAGCAATGATTTTATTTAGTTGGTGTCAGATTTTACACATGCTCTTTAGTAACTGTAAAAAGTGTCAACTTGAATCAGTGAAAGTCGAGGTTGAAAACTTCTAAAACTATTATTTTGTGGGTCAAACGCTGAAAGATTTGGAACAACAGCATTAAATTGTATTTTTGTGTAGTTAAATAAATAAAGCAGGTTAAAACTGCTGTTGTGTGTTTCAGCTTCACGGTGGAGTTCTTACAGCTCCAGAGACGGCTCCTGCTGTAAAACTGATGGAGAAGTTGGCCTGAGGCGTCTGGTACCGCTCGCACAGCTTGGACTTCACCAGCTCGTAGTTAAACCAGTACAGAGCTGCAGGAACACACAAACACAACAAGGTGGGTTACTTTATTTGTTGTTCTAYCAATTAGGAAACTTATGATGCACTAAAAATTTCATTTAATTTAAATTGTAAAACGACTAAAAGAAGCTCTGCAGCCAAACCGCCAGTATCTTTTACTGGGTGATGATATATTCAGAGTATTTAAACGGATCCCCGATTAGTTGTAACATTAGACTTTATATGATAAATATATACTTTAACTGTAAAATTAAGACTGTAAAAATACTGTAGGCTGTTCGGTTTTTATAATTTTTAAACTAAAAGTTTAAAAATACATTACACGGACGGGGCCATTTTATTTACACACAAAGCATTCTGGGTAAATGATGACGTGG